TATCTATCTATCTATCTATCTATCTATCTATCTATCTATCTATCTATCTATCTATCTTTCTTTTTTCTCTCTCTCTTTCTCTCTTTTTCTATCTCTCTCTTTTTTCCCCTGGATACCTCATTTTAAAACAAACCCTTTAGCTTAATCATCTGTTATCTATCTATCTATCTATCTATCTATCTATCTATCTATCTATCTATCTATCTTTTTTTCTTTCTCTCTCTCTCTTTCTCTCTTTTTCTATCTCTCTCTTTTTTCCCCTGGATACCTCATTTTAAAACAAACCCTTTAGCTTAATCATCTGTTATCTATCTATCTATCTATCTATCTATCTATCTATCTATCTATCTATCTATCTTTTTTTCTTTCTCTCTCTCTCTCTCTCTCTTTTTCTTTCTCTCTCTTTTTTTCCTGGATACCTCATTTTAAAACCTGAACCTAAAAGATAGGGAGTTTGGGCATCGGAGAAAGAAGATAGCGAGAAGTCCTTTGTAATATATTGCCATATTATTACTAAATCCCCAGACAGACTTGGCATAGCTCAAGTCACCTGTCACTTAAATTTGAGGTCCCTTTAATTTTCTCCTGGAATTCGCGCTGGGCTGTCTTTAAATTAAGGCCTTTATTGGAAGTCTGAAATCTTTTCTTGCTTCCCTGGCGCTCGCATCTATTCTGAGCTCGGTTACAGAAAAGTATACAATAACCATCAGTGGGATTTGGAGAGGTGTGAGGCTGTGTTTATTTAACACTCGGGGGGGATTTTCAAGTTTATTTGGTCCTCACTGCCCGCTTTCAATAATGCTTTGACAACCGGTCTGTCCTTCTCATTAATTTTAAACAGTTAAAACACAGGGAAGGGGGGGGGCAGGGGAGGGAAAAAAGTTTTTCATTATTAAAGTGCTTTACTTTTTAATAACAGAGGATTGTGTCCGTTGGGGGAAAGGGCAACTTCACTTAATTTCACATTCATATTAAAAAAAAACGCGCGCACACACACCAGGAAGGAAGGTGACACTGTGTGCAACCCAACAGGGCTTAACAAAAGGGGGGAAAAAGGTGGATTGATGAATGCAGGAGCAGTGGGGAGCGAAGGAGGGGCAATTTCTTAGTTATTTTGCCAGGATAGGACCCTGAAATCATTTTAAAAATATTATTTATAAATCGCTTTCCTGCGAAAGTGCAGAAAGAGTTGTGCCAATGTATATCAGTGTGATATTTTACCTGGGTTCCTTCTCCTTGTGGTCCCCATTTCTCCCCCCAAGGAAGTCGAGGGGACAGTTCTCTTCTTTCTGGGTTGTCCTCACAACAGCCCGACAAGGTAGTCCGGACACAGGAAGAAAAAGGGACGAATTGTTTGCTTCGGGCTTAGCATGGTGTGTGAATCAGCTGCCATAGCTGATCAACCATGGTTTATGGTTTACAAGGGTGTCTGGATGCAGCCAAGGGTGTCCTGGTCCACCAACCACGGTTCGCCCCAGCCTTAACGTTGTTAAGCCAGTTGTGTCCTTTTGCAACGCGCTTTGGAAAGGAAACAACAGCTTCCCACAAAGTAGGAAGCGGGTCCAAGAATGCTGTGGCCAAAGGAATGATTTGAAGTGGCATCTCTAGCGTCAGATGGTTTATGGGAGTTGTAGTCCAAAAGGTTAAGAGGGTGCTGGATTTGCTCTAATGGGCATGACTAATGTGGCCCTGAATTCCTTGGTGCCAGCCTGTCACTCCTTGTCCCCCAAAGTATAATTTTTAAAATGCATGTCGAAAAAGGCCCCGCAAAGCCCCCTCCTTGTGGTTTTTGGAAGATCGTTAAGGAGATGTTTATTTCACCCAGTGAAATAAAACAGGTTTTATTAGTGCCCCTCTTAGGGGAGGATTGATTTATTACTGCTGATTGATGGCGGCGATATTTTTTTTTTAGCATTTTCGTTGATTTTATCGCAGCAGCCTTCATTTCAACTTGCAGCCCGCCCGGAGTTTTTAGAGTTGGCTGGGCTGTAAAAACAGCAAGGCAAACAGAGAAGTAAAGAACGACGCTTAATTCCACGGAAATTTGCATTCGATCCCAGCACAACCCCGGCTTAAATTTTTCCAGCCGGGGATTCCCAATCCGGGATGAGTTCCTTTCTGCCGTGACTCTGCTCGCAAGCCAGCTTGGCTTGATTTTAATGGGCATGTTGCTCTTCCCTCCTTGTCCTCCATTCTTATTTTTCGACTTCTAGCATCACGTTCTTGCAGGGGGGTGTATCTCAGGGGCTGGCATTTCTCCCCCTTATTTCACAGGTTTCTGCAGCTGCTTTACAAAGCAGACATGTTTGGCCTTATTGGTAAACAGAAATCCTCAGCCAAACCAGAGGATTTTAATTGTTACATTGGGCTGGTTGAAAAGGGAAAGTATTTTTGCATTACTTGGAAGCCGAATAAATAACACCAAAGAGATCGTTGTTACTGTTGCTGTTTTAGAAGCTTTGTTTTAAATGCTTGGGGTAAATATCCAGGTAATGGATACTTACACTGCTACTGTGTTAACAGGGTTTGAGCAGAATTGGTTAGCTTGGCACGCTTTTCTCCCATGCTCAATATGGACTAGAAACTTGCTTTTGGAGAGCGGTTGGGAAGAAGCTTGGGCGGTGAAGCCAGAGGTCACGGTCTTCTGTCTTGAACCAAGCCACCACTAGTGTAATGTAAATTAATTAAATAGCAAAATAAGGAAAATTGCTAGCAGACAGGAAATATGGACTAGAAACTTGATTTCGGAGAGGGGTTGGGAAGAAGCTTGGGCGGTGAAGCCAGAAGTCATGTTCTTCTTTCTTGAACCAAGCCACCACTAGTGTTGTAATGTAAATGAATTAAACAGCAAAATAAGGAAAATTGCTAGCAGATAGGAAATATGGACTAGAAACTTGATTTCGGAGAGGGGCTGGGAAGAAGCTTGGGCAGTGAAGCCAGAGGTCCCATTCTTCTGTCTTGAACCAAGCCACCACTAGTGTTGTAATGTAAATGAATTAAACAGCAAAATAAGGAAGATTGATCACAGTAGGCAGTCATGAATGACATTTTAATCTCTTAGCTGCTTAGGTCTGAATTTTCCAACCAACATGTTCTCCTTGCAGCTGATTTCTAGCATTGTCCTCGCCTTAGTCCTGCCTTCTCAATCTGGGGATCGTTGCACGAAGTTACGTTGACTCGTACAAATTGCAGATTTCCAGTTTCTTCCCCCGATTAATCTCCAGGTTTATTTATTTATTCGTGGTGAGGGTCAGAAGGATTCCAGAGAAGACAAGTTGTAAATTTTCAGAAAACGTTCAGCCTTTTTCTGATGGGCTCCTGGAATTCCTTCCCATCAGATCCACGCCTTGGGTCCTTTGAGAAGAGCAACGCGCCCCTTCTTTTCCCCCCTCCTGGGCTGGCAAAGCCCGTGTTTTAAAATCTCTTCCATTGACCTGCTGTGCTTGAAATTTTCCTCTTCCTCTCCCGTCTAGAAGACCCGGCAGGGAGACGCCCAAGAGATGCACCGGAGAGCCACCGTGATGCAGACCGAATTTGAGGATTTTGTCCACTCCAGCACAAAAACGATCCGAGGGGCCAAAAAAGGTCAGGAACTGGCTTCCGTAACTTTGCGGGCATTTCTGAGTTTAAGGGAGGGAAGAGGAGCCATTCATTTTCCGGTAGGAAACGTGCCTTTCCCTTTCCCGCCCGGTCTGTTCTTAATGGAAATTCTCTGCGGCCTGCGGGACTCTCTTGATTTAACGCGGACATAAATCACAGGACACATCCAGAGCTTGGCTAATTTCATTTCAGCTTCGCTGTTCTCAAGAGGAGGGAAAAAAATACAGAAACATGTCTCCCCAATGGGAACTTTTGATTTCTTTTCCCCCACTTTCCTTCAAGCTTCCTGAGGACATCAGGAATACCCCCACGTTGCCTTTTTGGCAGTGACTTGGAATTGGCTTGCCCTTCCCTTCTTTGGGACTAATCAAACTGGACTTTATTAAACAGTCACGGACGATGGGTTTTTCAGCACTATTCCCCCCCGCTCATCGAATGGGATCACCTAGTGGTCTCCCGTCCAAGCTCTCCTCTGATCTGACCCTAGTTAGCTTTTCAAGATTGGCTAGGTCTGCCCCCCAGAGCTGGGTTGTGTAATCCAAAGGTAAGGGCTGGGTCTCTTTTAAGTTGAGTTCAGCTTCTGGTGATTTCATGGTGTAGTTTTCCTGGCCACGCTACAGAAGTAATGGGGAGTTTTCTTAACTCTGTGATTTCCTGGTGGTCTCCCATCCAAACCTTAATCAGCTCTGGCTATCCCGAAGCCTTCTTCGATCCCGCGCGCCCCTTTTTACGAAGAAGCTCAGCCCAAGGCCGGAGAAACAGGCCGGGCCGTGAGTGGCTTTCTAATCCGGAGCACGGAAGTATTCGATGGCCTCTTTCTCGCCAGCGCGGTTTCCGGCGCGAGACGTTGGCGCTGGGGATTGAAGGAAAGAGGCTTCTACATTACCCAACCCATATGGGCGTCTGCAGTTTCTGCAATTGAGGCTTTCATAAACACAGATGGAATGCGCTTTCCGGTGCCAGCGTTCAAGCGCTTCCATGGCTGCCGTGGGGCAGCATAACCGCCCTGCGTTTTCCAACGAATGCTTAAATGCTGCCCCTCCAGTTCGTTCCTCTCCCCCCAGTTTTTTTTTTTTTTTTAAGCAAAGCTGTCCCCTCCCCTCCCCGTCACTTGGTGCCCGCTCCCTGCATAGGCGGCCCATCCATGCCCCCTCCGCAGCTCGCCTCCGCCAACCTCCCCTCCTTCCCTTCTTCGCCCCAGCCAAGAATGGTGAATAATTAACACAGCAGCTGGGCCGTGGGTTTCATGGCAAAAAATCAAACAGAAACAGCACCAAAGGCTCGGCCTGCTGGCTTCTCCTGAGCCGCCCTCTCCCCAACCCCAGCCCTGTTCTTTTGACCTAGTCCGGGTTGATAGCCAGTTGTGGGTTGGGGGCCCCTTTGGAGAATGTTTTATCCTTTTATCTGTGGCTGGCCAGATTTTGGCTCATAA